TTTGAATCAGGTGATACCATTTTTCATGAAAATAAATTTCTTTTCGAATCTAGAAATAGTGGGGGTCGAATAATTTCTGAAAATATTTTATCCATGCCTAACTCTTCTACTCCATCTCAAGTTTTTCAAGAACAAGAAAATTCTTAAATCCAATCAAGAAGGAGTAAACAAGCTAGAGTTGAAAAAGATTTTTGCCTTGACTATTATCTTTACAATTTGGAACTCTTACGGTGCAAGAAGCTTTATCATCACCTGATGTTATTTTCTGGAGAGAGGCTGTAAATGATGAGATAGATTCACTAGTTTCCAATAAAACATGGACGCTAGTGGATTTACCTCCAGGTTGTAAAACTATTGGGTGTAAATGAGTCCTTCGTAAAAAACTTAAACTGGATAGAACTATAAATAAATATAAAGCGAGGCTTGTCGCTAAAGGTTTTAAGCAACAAGTTGATTTTGATTTCTTTGATACTTTTTCTCCAGTTACTAGAGTTACATCCATTAGACTGTTGATAGCAGTGGCTGCAATTTATTATTTAAAAATTCATCAAATGGATGTGAAAACAGCATTTTTAAATGGATATCTAGATGAGGGGATTTACATGGACCAACCTGAGGGCTTTGTGGAGCCTGGCCAAGAAAGCAATGTGTGTAAGCTAACTAAATCCCTTTATGGTTTAAAATAAGCTCCTAAATAGTGTCATGAGAAATTTGATTCCTGCATGCTTGAGAATGGCTATAAGACTAATGAATGTGATAAGTGCATATATTATAAAACTTGTGAGAATGCACATGTGATTATTAGTCTATATGTGGATGATCTACTTATCTTTGGCTCTAATTTGCATATTATAAATGAGACTAAAAATATGCTTAATAGCCACTTTGATATGAAAGATCTTGGTAAAGCGAATTTTATTTTGGAAATTAAAATTACCAAAACTAAGGATGACATTTTTCTTGATCAGTCACATTATGTTGAGAAAATTTTAAGGAAATATAACTTTCTAGACTGAAACATGTTGCTACTCCTTTTGATGCAAGCATACATTTATCTATTGTAACAAATGAAAAAGAAGTGATTAATCAAAAAGAGTATGCTAGCATGATTGGTAGTTTGAGATATGCTACTGACTGTACTAGACTCGACATTGCATATGCTGTTGGAGTACTTAGCAGGTTTACTAGCAAGCCAAGTCGAGATCATTGGCTAGCCATGGGAAGAATTATGAGATATTTATCTGGTACCAAAAATTATGGTTTGTTTTATAACAAGTATCCTGCAGCACTTGAGGGATATAGTGATGCCGATTGGAACACTTTGTTAGGTGATTCTCTCTACCTCGGGTTTTATTTTTACCGTGGGTGGTGGTGCTATATGTTGGAAGTTTAAAAAACAGACTATAATTGATAATTCTACAATGGAAGCTAAGCTTATAGCGTTAGCTTCAGAATGTGAGGAAGCGAATTGGTTGAGAGATTTGTTATATGAAATCTCTTTTTGGGAAAAACCAAGTCCTTCTGTATTAATTTGTTGTGATAGCACTGCTGCTATTGGTAGAGTGAACAATCATTTTTATAATGGTAAATCCAGACCAATTTGAAAAAAACACAGTAATGTGAGATCCTAGTTGAGTAATGGCATCATAATTGTGAATTATGTAAAATCTTGTGATAATCTTGCGGATCTGTTAACCAAGGCCTTGGCAAGAGATAGGGTCTGGAATACATCGAGGGTGATGGGTTTGAAACCTATAAAATCATAAACCATGTATGAGGATACCCAACCTAGGGACTAGAGATCCTATAACTAGGTTCAATGGGAAGAACGAATCATATGGTGGTTGTAAAAAAATGCACTCTTTAATATTTTGTTATCCATCCCTATAATGTAAGTGCATTTGTCCTGTAATGTTGGAGGGTTGAGTTTTTATACTCTTAATGAAATTATGTAGCTCTTGTTGAGTGGGGTGTCTAAATTACAGGAACATCCTTGACAAATTTCACCTATGTGGGCATGAAAGTGGGGCCGCTTTCTATGAAAACAAGGCTTATTCTCAAATATGCTCATGAAAACTGGGATTAGCACAAGGCCGTAATGTGCTGACTATTAAAAGCTCATGTCAACACCTGGATTATTATGTGTGAGCAGTAATACTTTATTTCCTCTAAGCAGTCATAGTTCAGGTCTGAGGCCACTACTGACTCTGGAGTAGAGGTTATTGTTTCACTAATGAAAGTTCAATGCAGAGCACACCTTCATGATGCATACTAGTCTATCTTTGTTTGGTAATCTATCTTGTCCTTGTTGATACTAAAATGAGTGGGGATTGTTGGACCATTTTAATATGTTTTATTTATTTATTTATATATTTTGTTCATGAATCTTCTTTGTCTTGTTCATGAATCTCATCTTGTTTATAAATGGAGATTCATTCACTATAACAAAAGTAACCTATGGTGATGAAAACTAGTGAAGAAAATAAATTTCATCACTAAATAAGAATGATTCGTGAGGAATTTATAAATTTTGTCACATATAATAAAAAATTAAAAATAATAGGTGACGAAATTTATTTTCGCCAATAAATACTTCCTTTTCAGTGAGGAAAAATTAAGTTCCATCACTAAAAATTTTCCCGCTAATTTTTTTGGGTGACGCTAAAATTTTGAGACTTTTGGTGAGATAAAAATTTGTCACTAATTATAAAATTATTTGTGAGGAATATATTTTCGTCACCAATAATTTTTAATTTTTTTGAGATCTTTTGGTGAGAAAATAATGTTATCACTAATTTTGGTGGGAAAATTTTGATGTATTGAGCGGCAGTGAAAAAAAAAGGGTGTTAATTTTTTTTTACCCCTTTTATGTTTATCATCTCTCTCTCTCAAAATAGGGTTTTAATTTTTGTTTTGCCTATTTTCTATTTTGCCTCTTTTCTGTTAATCAACTCTCTCTCTCTCTCTATCAAACAAGGCGCACTTAATACCTCTTCATTGCTCTTTGCCCTTGCTACTCCACCTTCAACGCCTACGCCTTTCTTGTATAAACAGGGCTCCACTCTCTGTATCAAACCCAAGTACTTTTATCTCTATTTTTTTCTTGTATTGCATTGATTTAATTGAGTTACAATTAGGGCACTCAGACAGTCACAACCTCACCACCACCATCAACCAACACAGCCGAACAGTCCTTAAAAGGACACTAAAATTTCTAAGAAGCAAGAATGATCGATTCACACAGTGCATTTTCCCACCAATCAAACACTAATTTGGATATAATAAGACAACAGGACTCGAGCCTACAAAACCCCTTCACAATTCAATTCTGGACACTTCACCATCGATATATTCTCTTGAATTTTCACTGTGACATGTTTGGCAATGCAGTCAGAGTAAAACAAATGGGTACAGCTAGTGTTGTTTTCAAACATTTCTGATTTTATGGGTTTTCAATATTCACAAATTTTTTAGCTTATAATCTGGTTTTATTGTTGATTTGGTAAATAAATTTGGAATTTTTTTCTTTATTGAGCGATTTAAAAGGTTTGATTTATCATTTGGGTTTTTAAGTTTATATGTATTTTTTGGGTTTTTGTTGGTAGTTAATTGTTAGCCATTAATGCTCTGCTCAGGGATTAGATTTATAAATAGGGATTCGATTCTGGTGATATGTGCTTCATTTCCTCATATTGAACTAATATTTGGGAAAAAAAATTCTGGAATAAAAAAATTTGCTATTTTATTTGAACAGAAATTTCGTAAATATATTTGGGTTTACTTTATTTGAGTTAAAAAAGTGAAAGACATTGATCTTGTGAGTACAATGAAACCAAAATGAAAGAAAATGATGAAGATTTGAGGAAGAGAATCGAGAGAGAGAGAGAGAGAGAGAGTTGAATTTTGCTCTGGTTTCATTCTGTTCTTTGAAGAAGAAGACATATTTTATCCTATGTGAATGCTGGAACTTTCACTTTGACTGTCAGTGCTGTAGTAAAAGTGTGGCCTTACTTATGTCTATAACTATCACAAGCAAGTTTGAATCTTTCTTGCTCTCTGGATATCTATATGTTTAGGTGGTTTACGATTGTTAGTTGTTGTTGTTGTTAGATATCAATTATGAAGATTAACAACTCTGTTAGATATGTGCCCTGTTGATGTTATTGTCTTTAGTGACTGTTATGTGATTTGGTGGAATTGTTTGTTAGTGTATTGGTTGGTTTGTTGTGCTTTTTTTTTTCTTTCTTGAATTTCTCTTGTAGATCTTTTATTGTGAATATATATATATATATATATATATGGTGACGAAAATTAGTGGAGAAAACAAATTTCATCACTAAATAAGAATAATCCATGAGGAATTATAAATTTTGTCACGTATAATAAAGAAATAAAAGTAATAGGTGACGAAATTTAGTTTGGTCAATAGATGTAGATTTTTTCATAGATTCAGATTTTTAATTATAATGTGTTCCATTTAAGAGTAGAACACATCCCATAGATGCAGATTTTTAATTAATCTTCATTTTGCATTTTTCTTGTAATGCTTTTGTTACTCAAATTTGACTAAAAATGACTTCATTTGATATATAGAGTAATATTGATTGTTTCTCCAATTTCTTTGGATCTGTGATTTTTTTCTTCCTGATTTGGTCCTTTACTCAGTCTATTATTTTCAGGAGGTCATTGGAATTTACACGAACAACACAAAGAATGGATTTTCGGTATTTTCCACCGTAGTCGAGGCAAACTACGTCACGAAGAAGCAAGACCTATTTTGAGCTTACAAGCTTACAGAGGAGGACAAGGAAGAAATTGAGAAGTTGGCTAAGGATCCAAATATTGGAGAAAAGGTATCTTAGTGAATATCTTCTGAGACCATGTCATTGTTGTATTGTAATGATATCTATTTTGAGTAATTTTTTCTAAATTATTAGATCTATAAAACTTCAGATATAATTTTTCAGTAAATAGTTTTTGTAGCTATATCTCATATTACCAAGTCAATTGCTCCATCAATCTATGGCCACGATGACATAAAAACTGTAATAGCTCTTGCAATGTGTGGAGGTTAAGAGAAAAATGTTGAAGGGAAACATCGGTTGCGAGGGGACATAAATGTGCTCCTGCTAGGTAACCCAGGGACAACAAAATTCTTAGTTTCTCAAGTAAGAGATACCCCAGTTTATATCTGAAGTGTCTTAATTCTTTAATGGTGTTCACTTCTTAGGCTTTCATTTGTTTGATATTTTCTTCTAAGGTATGTTGAAAAGATTGGCCATAGGGCTGTTTATACAACTGGGAAAGGAGCCTCTACTGTAGGGCAGACAATGGCAGTACACAAGGACCCAGTCACACGAGAGTGGACACTTGAAGGAGGGGCCCTTGTACTTGTCGATAAAGAGATATGCCTTGTTGATGAGTTTGACAAGATGAATGAACAGGATGGGTAAGTAAATGCATATGCTTGTGCCCATGTATTTAGTCTTCTAAAACATTTTTAGATGATTTTGGAAATGTTAACTTTTGATCAAGGTAAGTATCCATGAAGCAATGGAGCAGCAGAGTATTAGCATATCAAAGGCTGGGATTGTCACTTCTTTCCAAGCTCGATGCTCTATTATTGCTGCTGCAAATCCTGTTGGTGGAAGGTATGAAAAATACGCAAGATAATAAATTTAATTTGATGAGGCAAGAGTTATTATAAGGTTGGCAAAGGAACTTGCTAAAGAAGTACTTAACTTTCGCCAAGTTGCTAAAGAAGTAACTTGTTAAAGAGTTATTATAAGGTTGGCAAAGGAACTTGTTAAAGTTAAGTTAAACTTGAGAATACATTTAACTTGATTTATGTTATTATAAGATACTGCCTCAAGATTTGCTAAAGAAGTACTTAACTTTCGCCAAGTTAAATGTATTCTCAAGTTTGCATGATGCTGACTTTAACAAGCTTACACAAGTTTATGTTGAACTACAAAGAGAATTGTCGGTTAAATTTTCCTTCTTGTTCTTCCTAATGATTCAATCTATTGGTGATTTCATACATGTCATCTCATGATGTATGCCTTGATTTTTATGCATTTGTAGCATGGACAAGGAGTTCCCATTGCAGTGAGGGACATCGAATCAATGATTCAGATGTCTGAAGCACATGCAAGAATGCACCTCAGACAACATGTTACTCAAGTAGATGTGGACATGGCAATTCGTGCCGTGCTTGATTCATTCATTTCAACACAGAAATTTGGTGTTCAGAAAGCTTTGCAAAAGGTACTAGTAGATCTAGCACTTGAATATTTTTCCTCATAAACCATGTTGCGTCTCTTGTGCATATTTACCAAACTAATTCATTGTGAACAGTGTCATTTTCTAACATGTAACGCTTACTTGCTGCATTTATTTTGTTCTCTGATTTTGTATAATAGATTCTAAGAAACAATAATGTTCCCAATGTAAAACAATCCTTATGCAGGGGTCAATACTGTTACTAAGACTGTAAGCAATGGATGCTATTAAATCCATTACTACTATAAAGAAATAGTCATCGTGCAGGGGCCACATTAATCTTGTGTATTTTGCCAAAGCTTCGAGTTCCTCAGTGGTCACACTCCTGTTAAATCCCACTTTGAGGGTTTGTGTCTACTCACATGAAATTTGTGCCAAGAGATTCAAGTACAACCAAATTAGACACTCTACCTGGCTTCCAACATAAATTTAGAGGCAATTGTTATTTTAGGTTACTTGAAGAATTTGGATACTTTGTTCAACTACTAACTATTGGTGGTAAAAGATTTCTTTTCCTGATTCTTCAGAGTTGTGATGGTTGAAATTAAATCTATAGGTTATCAAAACCTTGGAAATTCTCCTATACTTAATTTTGGAGAGGATGCATTGACATAAATTTTGAATTATTTTTATTTTGATTATTTTAAATTTTTTTTTTCCTTAGAGGGCTTGTGAAGGATGCACTGCACTTTGAAGAAATTATGTCTGGCTCTGTTTCAAATCTAATTCATATTCATGTGAAAGTGGAGGAGCTATAGAGCAAGGTACTATAAATTTGCATTCAACTCGTTTACTTTTTGGATAATTATACTTTTTCGATTAATGCAAGTTATTAAAGATAAAAAAATTGTGCCAAGGGTGCATCACTCATTTATAGGAAAGATGAATGAGTCACTTGAGGAGCATTTAGAGATGACATCAAGCATCATGGAGTTTCTTAAGAAGCAAGGTTTCAAAGGACAATTTAGAGGAGGTGGTATCCCATGAACTTGTTGATTGCCGTTTTGGTAAGTTTCACTTGTTTTATGTTTTTATTTTTCTCATGTTGGTTAGTATATACTAGTTAAAGCACAGCAGTTTCACTAATTATTAACTAAGATATAACAAGTTTCAAAATGTATTTAATGAAATAGATTCATTAGGGTATCCGACTCTCCCGGTCTTTACCTGGGACAGTATGTGAATTGCGTTGCAGAAAAATCAATAATGTACACACTAAACACTAAGCGCCACAAAAAGCGACTTTAGACAACAAGAATATTTACTTTTCCTATACTTATAGGTAGAAATGTGAGACATAACAAACCATGAGCTGTGAGGAGAACACTGAGATAACAAGTCAGTTGTCTCAATAGACAATAATAGTACAACTCAATGCAATGAAATGTTGTCCTAATTATTTGTGGCACTAAGATGAATCCCATAACGCAACAAGTCCATTCTGTTTAGGACATAGTTTAAAGTAATACATATTATTCCATGTCTTTTCTCATTACCTAAACCTGCATCTATTAGGTTCTCTTATCCTTGGAAAACATAAGAACGTGCCACTAGTTGCAAAGTCATCTTTGCACTTTGGTCATAAAAAATATAAAATTTGACTATTAATCAATTACTCCACACATAGCATTGGAACTTCCCCACTTTCTTTAAATTTCAAAGTCATAAAAGCCATCTTTTATTTCAAAGGAGCATTCAAGGAATAAAAGTACACATTTCTATACTAACACCCACTCCAATCTCCTGGGGGAAAAAAACGGAGATTAAATCAGGTAAAGAAAAAGAGAGTGTCAATCAATTGTTTGGATAAAACCAGGACAACCAATACAGGCATAGCAACAATACACATCTTCTTATCTTCCTAGTAAAACAGAGTGTAAGCGAGGTAAGTCACAGTAGTTTCACTAATTAGTAACTAAGATTTAACTAGTTTCAAAATGTATTTAATGAAAATAGATTCATTAGTTACTTCTTACTTGGCATGACCCTTGTTAAAATACACACTAACCAAAGTAGAGACAAAACTATGTGTTTACTTTTTTGTGTATTTTTGCTAGGCAGTGTTAGAGTTGCTCTAAGTTAGTGATGTGATTAGGGGAAATTTGGCTATAAACCCCCTTTACCTTCCTTTCATTGTTAAAAGGACTAAGAAAAAAATTATACTTTCTAAACCCCCTCATAATTATAAAGTCTTGCATAAAGAACAAATTTATTATTTAAATATTTTGTATGACTATTATACCTACTCTCTTCCCCACTCTCTTCTTTTCCACAGATGGTCTCTTCAAGAAGAGCGGCGAGCTCTGCAACTTGTGCGGCACCGAAGCCGCCGTCATCACCTTCTCCAACGCCGGCAACACCTTCGCCTTCAGCAACCCCTCCGTCGACTCCGTCCTCGACCGTTACCTCTCCATGACTTCATCATCCTCCAGAGCCTCCGCAAGCTTCTCTTCCTTCTTTCGACATAGGGTTTCAACTCAAATCTGTGCACCATGAACGATTCCGATCTCTAATCTCCCGAGATCGACCTACGTGAACCGTTGTAGAATCGGCGAATCCCTCATCAGCAACCGTTGATCAAACACAGTTCCTGCAAATCGCACTGATACACATATATATATATATATATATATGTTTTGAGTCTTTAAGATTGGAGATTTGAATGATTTTTTAGTAGAAGAGAGACCTGTTACATCAAGTTTTCGACAAAGAATTCGAATTGTTAAAGAGTACAGAGACGAATCGTGCGACTGTTCAAAATTTTCATATTTGAACACAGTTCTTCAGATTTTTCATATATATATATGTGTGTGTGTGTGTTTGTGTGTGTGTGTGTGTGTGTGTGAGAGAGAGAGAGAGAGAGAGAGAGATTTTTCATTTGGATAGTGTTGTTAAGTTCTTAAATTGATCTATTGATGAGTTTTTACTATGTTCTCTCAACTTTTTGTTGTAAAATTGTTTCTGATTTTGATAAATTTTTGTGTCGTAAGTGAGCAATATGGATTGTGTATATGTAATAGATAACAGAGAAGCCAAAAAGGCGATACGAAAGAGGCAAGTAACTGTGAAGAAACAGAAGAATAGTGGTTGTGAATGATCTAATTTCATTTAATAGAACCAGAGTAAAATTTTACTCTGGTTCTATTGCTTTGTTTTTTTCATTTGACAGAACTAGAGTAAAATTTTACTTTTATACAGAGTAAAATTTTACTTTTAGCTTCAGAGTTTCACAGTTTACTTGTTTTTCAGAGTAAAATTTACTTTTATACAGAGTAAAATTTTACTTTTAGTTTCAGAGTAAAATTTTACTTTTATACAGAGTAAAATTTTACTTTAGTTTCGAAGTGTAACATTTTACTCTTATTCATGGTAAAATTTTACTTTTATACAGAGTAAAATTTTACTTTTAGTTTTAGAGTGTAAAATTTTACTCTTATTCAGAGTAAACTTTTACTTTTATACAGAGTAAAATTTTACTTTCGTTTCAGAGTGTAACATTTTACTCTTATTCAGAGTAAAATTTTATTTTTATACAGAGTAAAATTTTACTTTCATACAGAGTAAAATTTTACTCTGAAATACACAGTGAAGATGGCTTAATAGGAGAGCTGATAGATATGAGGGTATTATATTAAAATAAACAAGTTTTAAAATATTAGGGGGTTTTGAAAGTACTTATATAATTCTTGTCCTTTTGAAAGACAAATTAGATAGTGAGGGGGCTATCACCAAATCCCCCTGTGATTAATGGGAGCCTACCATATACAAATGAACTTCAGGTTGTTAAGCTAGACCCATTGTGTACACAAATTGTATTGACATGGGTAGAGAGGTCTATATAATGTAATTGATAATATATGCTAATGTTTTTCTTGTTTATTTTCTTTGCAAATTGGTTTTTGATGATGTTTGGAAGTATATATTTTCAAATTAAGATCAAGTGTTGAATTTTTTTTTTCCTAAACTAATACTTAGTTGTAGTTGCAAATCAAGATCGAGTGTTATTTTTTTTGTTGACTCCACGTTAGTTCATTTTGGGATTTGCTTTGATGGTTTTTTTGTTATACTTAATGGATTATTATTAAATTTGTTTGATGGATATATTTGGATTTATAATATAAATTGTTTAGTGAATCTTTTTGTGGAGTGGTGTATAATAGCTAGTGGATTTCTTAGTACAATTAAAAGGCTATTGGAATATGAGCAGGGATATTTGTGAAATAATAATTTAAATTAAAATATAAAATATGGAACAGGTTTAGTGACGAATTTGTTTCGTCATTTGTATTTGTTATTATGACAAAGTGATTATTCGTCACCAATAAACATTTTTTCTGACAAAATTTATTGCAGCTTATATATGAAAGTTTTCATTGATTTTGTTGTTTGGTGACTAATAATTTCATCACGCATATATATATATGTTTGCGACGAAATTTATTTTGTCACCCATGTATGATTGTTGGAGACGAAAAATTTCGTCAACTTTACATCTTACTGTAACCTCATCAATGATCAAAATGCGTGACAAATTTATTCGTCAACTAAAGTTATAAATATGGTACTGAATAACTATTTGGTGACGAAAATGAGAATTTTTTGCAACAAAATGTTGTTTTATTAGTGACAAAAAATTTCGTCACTGAAGTAATTTCATTGGTGACGATTTTTTTTTCATCACGGTGGTTTTTAGTGACAAACATTCAATGACAAAACCGGTGAGGAAAATATTTCCTCACAAATATTTATAGTGACGAAATTAGCTCTTTGGAGACAAAAAAATTTCATCATTCAAGATGCAACTTGTTGTAGTAATTATTTTGGTGACCTTTTGTCTTGTTCATGAATGGAGATTAATTGGATTCATGAACTTGGTGGTGAGTTAATATTTGGAGACTCTCCATTTTCTCTAGTTTAATGGTCATTATTATTTTTGGTATAAATTGTAAGGCTCTAGTGGCCTATAAATAGTTCCTTCCATATACTCTTTTGCACACCAACTATTGTTTATACTTGAGAGATTACTAGCAAAGAATAGTGTTTTTCTTAGTGAAGCTTTGGGTTCATCATCTTGTGCAGAGTTGGCCTGAACCATACGACAAATGGTCGGGCTATTATATCCTGGAGGAGACAAGTCATAGTTTTGTGACTGTTACATCGGTATTTGGGTTCTTCCTACTGCGGTGGGCTTGATCTCCTCAAAGAAAACAAGATATCCGTGCCTCAGCCTGATCTATTTGTATCTCATTTTCTTTACATTATTTATTAATAAAATATAATTTTTTGGTATTTTCACCAACAACTCGTAATAAACTTCGTCTGCATGTTTCACATTTATGTTTTTTGGACAAATAACAATGCATGCAAATTAACGTAGTTTGTTTGTTAACTTAGTCGTTATTGTTTTAATTGCATCAATTCTGTTATAGAATTTTTATATTGTGTCGATTTAGTTCAATTGATAATGTCTTTTCAAAATTTTGATTAAAATCAAGAGGTGAAATAGTCCTTTAACTATCCTTAAAGTGATTAAGGGGTTGATATATGTGGGAGCCCAATAAAAATAAATCTAATCGGCAAACAGATTACATCCAATCCCATCTTTGATGGGCCAAATTTAGCCAAAGCCCATTGGGTTCAAACAAGTCATTGCCGACTAGATACAAATAGGATGATGAATGTGTCGCATTAAAGGTACATAGGTCGTGCATTTGAACCAAGTATATTAAATAAGTCGGCATGACCCCATTAGGTGAGCCCAGACTGTCCTCTTCTGAAAAGTATAGTAGGGAGATGGACCTTGAAATGGTGATGATAAAGGGCTAAGCCGCAAGAGAAAATATCAAGTTTAATGATTCTATAAAAGGGAGCGAAGGCTAAAGGAGGAGGTATGTGAAAAAAACTTGCACTTTAAGAAAATAAATACTCATCTTCCAAAAGAACCTAACTTGTTCGTCGGAGTGCTAATTCCGGCACCACCAACAGGAGTTTTTCTTCTATTTCAAATAGCATCTCAAGGATCATTCAAGGGCTTATTGAATTGAAGGAGTATTCCAAAACCACTTCTTCACAATTGGTGTCGTCTGTGGGAATACTCAAACTCGTCAATGGCAAACCTAGCTCAAGATCCTCCAACCATTGGAAACGACATTGTCGTACCTGGAACGATTTTAGGTCCGAAAGACGCTCCCACATGAATATTCTTAAACTTTGATCCCATAACCCCTTCTTTACCTTTGACGTTAGCAAAGGATGCCAAGTAAACTTTGATAAACCAAGCAAAGCAAAATGAGCATCACCCGGAGGATATGGCGGTTGACAATAAGCGCCTAAGCCAAGAGTTGGCAAAATCCCGGCAAATGCCACCACATAATGAACGAGGCTGATCACCAAGGCGGAAAGCGAAGCAACAACTCTAACCCCAAAGGTATGATGATAGTTACAGTACATCAAACTCCTCTTAAGAGGAGCCCATAAAACAAAGCTGAGTTAATAAGTCTAGTTCATCAGATAGAGGAAGCTTTTCACAAACACAACACATACGAAAAATGAAAGACGATGATTCTGATTTAGAGGACAAGCATGATCCTTTCATACGACATATAGCAAATGCCGTCTTGCCTAAGAAGTTTTATGACGACTAATTGGACCCCACCGATCATGTTCGTCATTACAAGCAGGTTATGACTTTGCATGCAGATAATGAGGCTCTTATGTACCAAGTAAGAGGTGACGAGAATTCTAGATCTCATTGGGGGTTGGTTTCTTCGCTTTCAGCAATTTTCGATGGCTGAGTCGGGACCTCTTTGTTCGATATCTTGATTATCAACACCCTGTTGTACTTGTTCAATGCCCTGAATTACTTGTTCGACATTCCCCTCACCGTCTTCACTATCTAATACTTCAACTGCTCCTATACCCTTCAGGTTGACATAACTTTCAAAAACCAAAGTTGTGAGCTGCTGTTTACCTTGAGGAATTCGAATATGATTGACAACAGTGAAAGATACGTAAAACGGATCATATTTTAGAAGAATATGTGTGGCGCGGCCCTATCCTTGGAGGTTCTTTTGGCCAGTGTACTCAAGAATGGTTTACCTTGGGTGAGAATAGCTTTGTCCTCTGAGGTAATCGCTTTTTTAAGATCGTTACTTGCAAGGAGGAGTTATTAGTACATTGGAGGCTGAATGGAATTAAAATAAATTTACAAACTACTCGGCCACCTGGTTCTCCCTTTTGCCTAAGAATCTGGTCCAAATGGTCCTCTTTCGGGCAGAATTCCCAATTTCCACTAACAAGGACCATAACGTTATCCACCCCATTTCTCAAACTGGGGAGCATGGTCACTAGATGATGATCTATATCCTTGGCCCTAAGGAATAATTGCCCTAGCCAACCAGTTGATTTGGCAAAGGTATAGCAGTGCCGAATTGCAAGGATGCCTAAATTAATGTTTAATCGGTGGTTGAGTGCTACAATACCCATCATTATTCAATAAAAATTCACGTTTGGTTGTGAAGGAATCAATCCCCCGTAACGAAGAACAACTTGAAGAAATTAGTGAAGGGGAAATTGTACTCCACCTTCGGCTATCGCTAATAATGGAAGCACTATAGTGCTAGTGTCAGATCTCCCTAGGTCTACTACCGTGTCTGCAATGAGTTTTATTTGAA